CCATTTCTAAGTATCCAATGTCTTTTTAATTAGATTGGGTTCTCTTTGTTAATCTCTTATATGTGTATGCTTTTTTAAGGAAAAATATGAAATGGTTTACCTCAAGGATAATGATTATTTTACTAAGGATGTACTTGTGGAATTATAGTGCACTAATGAACCTTAACATGTAAGATACACTATAATGATTTCTTCAATGAAATACTCTTCTTGCACCCATTTTGTGTTCGTTTATAAAAATTATAAAAATTGTAAGTAGAAAAAAACAAAAAACATTTTAAGCTAAAATTTTTAGCTAGCACATATATTAAAAAATTCATAGTTCCGCCATTGCATGTGGCTAATATGAAAGTCCGCATAAGGGGTCCATATATGACACCCTCACTATAGAATTTCATGACAAATAAGTCCAACGGCAAATAATTCATTGGACCCAAAAGAAATCATTAGAAGAAAAGAAAAAAAGTGTTTCATTCGAGTCTTTACGTTTTTAGGGGAGCTTTATAAGCATATTGAAAGTTCAGGGGCACATTGAAAGAATGTCTTCAGTTGAGAGGCATCGCTAAAATTTTCCATACCCACCTTTTAAAGTGCTTTAATTAATTTAATTATAACAAAATATTGATTTAGGAGGAACGTAATAGTATGTATGGCTGATAGGATATATAAATGTATGCGCATGCAGATAGAGAGTAGCTAGAGCTACGTACTATATAATGATTTATTTATATGGCCAATATAAGGGGCATCTTTACCAGCTACTACATCTTGTGTCCCTTCCCTTTTGTTTTCACATGCATGCGGGAAAAGGCACGAGCATAGATTAGCCCTTTTAATTACACAACTAATTGCAACAGTTGAAAGAAGAAGATGCCATTTAGGAGAGAGACAAATAAGCCACTAGCTTTGAGGTGCCCCTTTTACCAAACTCGCTTTCTTTAATCCCAAAAGCCTTTGTTTGCTTCTAGGCTAATTGAACTTCTTGCCTCTCTCTGACCAAATAACACTTTATTTAAAACCTTAATTTAATTAAGCACTTTGATCAATTACGATGACTCAGGTGTGCTTTGGCTTTTCTGGACATCAGTTAAACCAAGTACTTAGGAACCCTCATCAAATGTTTAAGAAAGCAATGTGCTACTTCCAATCACCAAGGCAAAATCTGATTGACTACTGTAATCTACTAGCAAAGCTTAATTAGGCCACCTAATTATTAACCTTTGCAAGCAACAATTGTATGCCTGAGAAATAATCACCTGCAGCCCGCCCGGCCGCCTCATGAACCCTTTTAATTACCATACCAATTAGGCCATGCTGTGATTGGAATGCAAATTGTCAACCTATGTAGTAGCTTGTAAACATAAAGGCCAATATAATGAAGGGGTCCTATTAGGGCGAAGTGAAAGAGTTGATAGACTTTCTGGAAACCAAAGATTAAGCTAATTATATTCACTAAATTGCGAATTATTTCGGTACAAGTCGACATCTCTATTTTTATTAATTATTCAAGGCCTAATAATGAAGCATTTTTCTTTTGGAGATAGAGGGGCAACATTTTAGCTATTAAAAAAAAATTTGTATGCCTAAATTCATTGGAGGTATTGAGAAGTTCATATCATATTAAGAAACATAATTTTCCACATCTCAATAATTGAGGTAATTGGGTGTTTGACACTTTCCAGCTCCGATATATCTCACATCTCACTAATATGGTGATGCCCTGATTGGATAATTAAGAAACAAAATGCAGCCAATCAAGTGTTTCCTAAGATGCCACTTGGTTCCTTTTTGTTGGCATTGTCAATGTAGCAGCAGCAGCATCCATGAGTTTCTATATATAAAGCTAGTGATCACTGGAGCTTAGTATCAAACTCAGTCAACCTCCACAAAACTGAGAAGCAAAAGGCTTCTTTGTGCACCTTAGGTTCCTTGCTACCACAATGGTAAGCCTTCTCAATTCAGCAAAGTTGTTTTTCTTTAGGACCTAAGAAAATTCCTTAACATATTCGACGTGGAGTTTTCATTTGGCAGCTATTGTTCTATGTACTTAATTCAGTTTCTAATTTGAAATTATGAACAGGGCATCTGCGGAGGATTTAAAGGGCAGCCTAAGCAGGCAGCAAGGTTAGGAGGAAATCGAGCTGCACTTTTTGTATACGGTGGGTGACAATAAATAATTGACACTAACCACTCATTTTCTGCATTTTGCAGACTCTAATTTCTCTTTTAATTATTGATGGTGAATAAATTCATATGTATGTATGCATGCAGCCACGGAGGGTCTTGAGAACATGTCATTTGTTGCAAATGCTGTGAGCCTTGTGACTTACTTCTATGGATATATGAACTTGAGCTTGACAAAGTCGGCCACCACCCTTACCAATTTCATGGGAACCGCATTTATACTAACACTTGTTGGTGGATTCATATCTGATACCTATTGGTCAAGGTTCAAAACTTGTGTCGTCTTCGGATTCATCGAATTACTGGTACGTTTTTCTACAAGAAGAACTCAGAAATTGGATGAATTTTTTTCTTACACTTGCTAATTCTGTTACTACTAATTCTACTCTGTTCGTTCTGATACTGTTTAGATGAAAGACTAAGTTTGAAAATATTGTCTCTTCTGAAAATTTATGTGCTTTTTATTTGTCCCTTTGTACTATGAGTGGCAAGTTGCATGTACCTACAACTACAACCAAAATAACTAAAAGATATTCATCCAAAGAAAAACTTTCTGAAGCCTAGCCATGGCCTGCAACAATTATACATATATATTCTAAAGCTTGGCCACAATGGTCAGCAGAAGATCATCGACAACCTACATAATAGCTGACGCAGATATCATGTAGCTACTGGTTGATGATCAAATGCAAACAATAAAAAATAAGGTCGACTTTGTATATATATATTTTTCGGATTAATATATTTGCAACTTTCCAGTCCCATCCCTCTTACAAACCAATAGACAAAAATTATTAGTTAACTTTTCTATCATCTAATTGCAATAGCTTCAATAAACAACTCCTCCAATTGAATTTTATGCTTAATTACATGATTTCCACATTTGCAGGGACTTGGGTTGTTAACTGTACAAGCACACTTCCACCAGCTAAGACCGTTCCCATGCCAAAATGTTACACCAGACCAAACATGCGAGGCTGCAGACACAAACCAACTTGCGATCCTTTACACTGGCCTTTACCTAATTGCATTAGGCACCAGCGGCGTCAAGTCGGCTTTACCAGCTTTGGGAGCTGACCAATTCGATGAGAAGGACCCGAACGGGGGAGCACAGTTGTCGAGCTTCTTCAACTGGTTCTTGTTCAGCCTCACCATTGGAGCCATTTTTGGTGTCACTATTGTTGTATGGATAAGCTCGAACCGGGGCTGGGACTTGGCCTTCGCTTTGTGTACCATGGCAGTCTTCTTTGCTGTTGTGTTTGTGTGCATGGGAAAGTCTCTGTACAGAAACAATGTTCCCAAGGGCAGCCCCCTCCTAAGTATCCTACAGGTAGCCACAAGTTTTGTGTCAATAATTGGTCCCCTGCATCACTCTGCTCTGTTATATATGCTCATAAATTTATTGGTTCCTCAATATTGATATATAGTTTTGTTTTTGAATGTTCAGGTTCTTGTGGCTGCTACCAAAAACCGAAAGCTTCCAATTCCGGAGAATGCAGATGAGTTACATGAGATCCATGACAAAGAAGCAGGGGAACAAAATGAAATTCTTCAGAGAACAGATCAATTCAGGTACATTAAAATAACTACACTTTGAAATCCAGCCCCCTCCTGCAGTCCTACTTCAAATAAGCTTAGTAGTAAATATAATTTTGCAGATTCTTGGACCGGGCGGCAATCTTTGGTGCCACTACTGCTGATGGTTCTTCAACATCTAAAGCTCATGGATCCTGGAACCTGTGCACAGTCACACAAGTTGAAGAAACAAAGCACCTAATTCGCATGCTCCCAATCATATTCAGTACTGTCTTCATGAACACGTGCATGGCACAGCTTCAGACCTTCTCAATCCAACAAAGCAATACCATGGACACGCATATTCTTGGCTTCAAAATTCCCGGCCCATCAATCCCAGTTATCCCTTTGCTGTTTATGTTCTTTCTCATCCCAATATACGAGAGAGTTTTTGTGCCAATTGCTCGAAAATTCACTGGAATTCCAACTGGGATACGACACCTTCAGCGGATCGCGGTTGGGTTGGTGCTCTCAGTTATTTCCATGGCGGTTGCTGCGCTCATAGAGACTCGCAGAAAATCTGTGGCCATTGAACACAACATGGTGGACAGTATTGAGCCTCTGCCGATGAGCGTGTTTTGGCTGGGCTTGCAGTATGCTATTTTTGGAGCAGCAGATATGTTTACTTTGGTAGGGCTCTTGGAGTTTTTCTATGCTGAGAGCGCAGCTGGTATGAAGTCACTGAGCACAGCCATCTCATGGTGTTCGATGGCATTTGGCTACTTCTTGAGCTCAATGGTGGTGGAGGTGGTCAATAAAGTCAGCGGAGGGTGGCTGGCTAGTAATAACTTGAACAGAGACAAGCTGAATTATTTCTACTGGTTGTTGGCAGGGCTGAGTGTACTGAATTTTGTAGCTTATTTGATCTGTGCATCTTGGTACAAGTACAAAAAGGTCGAAGTTTTCAAGCAACGTGACTTGAACGGAAAGGTTGAAATGGTAAAAGCCTAGGTAAGAGGCTAGAATTAAAGGTTTTATTGTGGTATTCAACGGATAATTAGGATATAATATTGTAATCAGATCCAATAATTATTTATAAAAGTTGGTTTCATTGTTGTATTAAACCTAGCCATTTCCTCTCTAAAGGGTTTTTTTTTCCTTCTAATTATCTAATTTAATTTCTATATTTGAAAGAAGATCAAAGCTTAAGATTTCCTTTAAAAGTCGAAATACAAAATAAAAGAAAAACACAGAAGGCCAAAGTTAGTCGAAACTAGTAATGAAGTCAAAATCAAAATAAGATCAAACTTCTGTGTAACGTTTGTTTCTTTTCAATGAACAATCTATTTACAAGACCAGTTAAGAGGGTTATTTACCAATTGACATGTACTGTTTCATCCATCATCCCGAGAAAGGGCAAGGACACAGACAACCCCTTGCCGCCTTAATCTGTAAAACATTCTCAAACAAGAGTACTACGTTACAACATGTTTACTCTACCACTTCACATCCAACGTTAGCGCCTCAGAAGGTACAAGGACAGATGAGGACTTGGTGAAGGAAATATTGGACATCAAACTACTCCACGCAACCGAATCTGCTACAATGAAGGGCCTAATCTTTTTAACCAAGAGAGGCTTCACCCTCCCAAATTCCACTCTTGCCAAAACTTCAAACCAAACCCGTTCAACAGCGGGCCTAGTTCTCCATCCTGCCTTGCCCCGGAGTGCACCATTCCTCCGAAATTCCCTTTCGAGCTCAACCTTGAAACGGACAACAGTTGAAGCTTTGATTTTCCCTTCAACAAATCCTGACAAACCGCTTTGGCGAATTCTATCACCAAGAAAGCTTTTCCAAATTCTTTCCAGCATAGATATCCTCGAACGTAGAGAATCAATGGGGCAAGCCCGCTTCTTGTAAGCATGGCTTCTGTAGCACTTCTCTGGCAAGAACTCAATTATCTCCTTGGACATAAATTTGGTCTCAATGTGGGCATCAGGATTTCGAGTCTTGTATGCAACCAACGTTGCAGGCCCTAAAACACGAATAGGAAATAATGGTGTGCAGTACGAATGCCAAATAGGCCAAAACTCACTTTTCTCCTTGCCAATTGCACCACTTCCCTTTGATGATAAACCAAGATCAGATGCATGAAACACAGAGACTTCTATAGCTCCACTTACTTCAACAGTGATGCCTTTACCAACAAGAACCCTTTTAAACCCACTGTATGTAGTGTTCATCTACAATATATAAACGCCAATAATGTATTAAAACACACTCATTGTTCAACCCAGTACTATATGTAGTGTTGAGCTTATAAGAGATCATTGCAAGTGTAATTCTTGAGCTAGCTATTTGTGCAGAAAATTGACCAAAAGCTCACACACCACACCATTTAAACATTCAAAGACAGTTTGAAGATTGAATCGATGCAACTATTAAAACTCTGAAATTGAAGATTCAATTAAGCACTGAGTTATGAAACAGAGCGTACCGGCAATGAAAGGGAGAAGTGATGGGTGCCGCCGACCCGTAACTCAAAGGGACCCTCCACTTTGAAGGTGTCAACTACAGCCATGGAGCTGAGCTCCTTAACGAGAGAGCCGAAATGGGTTCTGGGTTGCCTGAACTTTTTCCAGGAAGAGACGTCGTCGGAGAACAAGACCCCTACGGGGATCTTCCCGAATCCGACCCGGAACTCATATCGCTGGGCGCTCCCGAAGCGAACCCTGCTGGCATCCAACCTCGAAACCCTGATGTCCTGCAAATACCACTTGTGCTTGGCCGATATTTTCTTTAACACATCCTTCAAATTTGGCAAAAAATGGGAAGGAAAAGTCGTAATTAAAAATCAAAGAGAGAAGAAATCATGTAAATAAGATGGAGGAGGAAGAAGTACCTGCAAGATTTGGGTGGTGGAAGAATTAAAAGCAAGAATTGACTGAAGTGGGAATATAAGGAAGAGGATGAGGGAGACGAGGAGAGTGCCGGTCCTCCTCATCTTTGTAAACTGTAATTGTACGTTTCTTGAACCACTGACCAAGCGAAAGGGATCGCATCCCACTCTCTCTCCTGAACTACCGACTTAACCACCACAACAACAACCGCCACGTTTGCTTCTGCATTTTGCGTTTTGCGTTTTGCGTTTTGCGTTTGGGATGAATGATTGATGACTAGGCCTTGTTGATCAGACGGTTCAGTTGGGCATGTTTTATATTCAACTTGAATCAAACTTTTTAAATTTAAAAACAGAATTTGAATCCAAAACAAAGAAAACATGTTTGGTAGCCTATGTTTAGAAACTTGTACTCAAAGACAACTAAAAGCAGTTGCATCGATAATTTTGGGCCTTTTTGTTTGTGGACCCCATCATAGGTGCTTTTAACTGGGTTGGATAATTTTGGGCTTTTGGGCCCAAAATTCAGGCTTGTGACCTGTGACTGGCCACCCATAAACATGGCTCTATGTATGAAAAAATATATGTTCTTTTAGTTTTTTTTTTTAACAATCTACAAGTTCTCAAATTTTTAAAAGAGTAATGCTACACTTACCACAGTTATATCCCACATTTTCATACCACCTTATGTGGCAGATGAAGTGGACAATCACATCAATTAAAAAGTGTCAATAAATCATAAAATTTAAGAAAACTTTAAATTAATTTTAATTGATGTGTTGTCCACTTCATCTGCCACATAAGGTGGTATGAGAATGTGGTATACAAATGTGGTAAGAGTAGCATTATTCTTTTTAAAATTTGAAAACAGTTTTCAAGTTGCATACCAAACAAGTTTTTGAATCTTTAAAAATATATTTAAGAACTCATTGTTTTTAAGAAAAATCAAAGTTTTTAAGTTCCCTATTTGAATAGGATACCAAACACCCCCAATTTACCGCCGCTTTTCTTATTTTTCATTTTTTTATTTTTTGCTATTATTAGTTCATCATATAGCTGTGCTGGTTCTGTTCAGTTTTCAAGTTTTTTTTTGGGGGTATTGGATCGAAGAGGTTTCATAAACTTGAAAATTGAATAAAAGGTTTCGAAATTCCATTTAGAAGATATATTCATTTGGATTGATGGGGATTTGTTTTTGTTTTGTGACCATTTTGGATCAGATTGGTTTTTTTGTACCAGTTAAACTGAAAAATCGAACAATCCAAACCAGAGTAATGCTGGATGAGTAGTTTTCTAATTATATGATCTTTATTATTAGAGAATGCAGGTGAGAGAAGCCATAATCAACAAAACCAGAATAATGTTAAAATTGACATTTTTCGCCGTAGGCTTATCACAACAACAGTAAAAATAATAGTAATAGTACGATCAACTCAATCAAAAGCAGGTTGATCTGAATTACTAACCAAAAACGATTTACACAGATAAAGAATGCGTCTTGATAAAATGCACGTTGGAACAGCAAAACTCCAACTCCAAAGACGTCATTACAAAGATGCTTGGAAGCAAGCCTACAGGCAACACGAAAAGGGAGTCCAACGTAATTCATCTGCCGAGGCTTTCAGCATATCCTGTAAAGAACCATCTGCGTCTACCATCTCCATCTCACCGCATCATAAGAATCATCTCCACCAGCTTCAAAGGCAATCAGAATCATACCTTCACTCAGCACGATCGGTGCCATATCTTTCCCTTCAGATATTTGGTCTCTCACAGGTGCTAAAACCTCATGTATGGCAGCAGCTGAACCTCCCAACATATATGAACAAAGTAATTGATGAATCAGACAAGATGATAGCTTAGCTTCATCTTTTTTTCTCCACTCTCTTGTCAAACGTAAGTTTAAAAGTCATACAGATTCAGACTGACGGATAAGATATCCATCCAAAGCACGTTCAAAGTGCCCAACAACGAACCAAGAGAGTGGTGTAAACAAATTCAATATCTTGATAAAGAGAAGAAGAAAATCTTCTGAGGTCCTCCCTCCCAGCAAACAGAGGGCAATGTGTCAAGAAATTGCAACAGCATTGTCTGCTACTTGTGGTTCAAACGTGGTGTCGGATACTTTGGAGGGAGGCCAATAGCGAAATACTGATCTGCCAAGAATGTTTTTGACAGGAAGTGGACCCCTGAACACAAGAAGTTAACCACATCGGCATGTCAGAGATATAACAATTCAGTTTGAAGAATAATGATCTTCTTAAATATTCATATGCACTACTAACAGTTTTTTTTTACCAGAAAATGCAATACTAAGAGTTTAGAATTACCAGTTATGAGAGTCAAAACTATTGTTCCGATTATCTCCCATTACAAAGACATAGCCTTCTGGAATGAGCTGCAAAATCAAGCAAACAGATTGCAATGCTTCTTGTGAGCACAATTCTCAGTGTCACCATAAGCAAATCAACTGAAGGAAAAGATAAACCTAGAAAAGGATGCTTACCACTGGATCCATTTCATAAGCAAGCGGCTCTAATATGTAATGTTCATCTTGAACATGACCATTTACCAGCAATTTTCCATTGCGAACCTATTCCATAGACACACAAAATAAAACACGTCAAAAAACAAAATACATATGTTTTCGTTTCTATGAGTACAGCCAGAGCCATAAACAACAACTTCAAGATTAATGAGATTTATACCTCAACACAATCTCCAGCCTTAGCCACAATTCTTTTAATGAATACATCGCCCGAGTTATAACCAATTTCCTACAGAGTGCACGAAAAACACAAGAATATAATGTCAGCACCCACATGTCAAAAACTCTTACAAAATGTAATTGGAGGTTCCTCGAAAATCCTTATAAAATGTGATTGTACACAATACCTGTAAGATTGGAGGTGCCTTGAAAATTACTATATCTGAAACCTCAGGCTTCTTAAAGAAATATGAAACCTGATTTATCAAAGGAAGGATATAAATCAGATGGGCATAAGCAATTTCAAAAATAAAACTTTGACAGAAAATCTGGTTTCCACACTTACGAAATCAACCAAATAATACTTGCAAACATAACATTACATATCCCAATTCCAAATTCACAATTTTGTACTAATGAATACTAAATCAATTATCAATTAATCAAAAAACCAACATAATTCCACCAATTAAATATACTGATATGAACATGGGCTCACCTTCTCGGCTAAAACGCGATCTCCCACATCCAGAGTAGGGTACATAGAAGTGGAGGGAATCGATCTGGGCTCGGCCAAGAAGGACTTAAACAAGACACTAACAGTGACAGCAGTGAACACAGCCTTAGCGTCCTCCGAGCAAGAATTCAACAAGCGCGATAAGAAACCGCTCCTCCCCAATTCTTTTTTAGTCAACCGCGGGACCTCAGCGATCTCATCCACACACAAGGTTCCGCCTTTGTCCACTTCCTTCAGTATAGACACAGGAACAGACTCGTTGCAGGGAAGCCACTTGGAGACCTGTAAAAAAGGCATGATCGAACCGGGTTTGAACGGCGAAATACCCATAGCAGACGGAGCTGAAGAGACACCCGCAACGAAAGCCGTTGACTTCAGGAGCGATATCAAGCCTAAGACGATCGGGCTCTTGGAACTCTCGCCGAGAATCTCTTCGGCGAGGGCTGTGTACAAGGACGGCAAAGTCTTAGCGGCCAGCGAGCTCGGCTTCGAACGGGAGAATTGGGTCTGGTGATACTTGCGGACGGGGACGGAGGGGTCAAATTCGGGCTTTTGGTTTGATCCAAATACCCGAGACCTGACCCAGCATTCGTGAAATCCTCGGCAATTTCCGACCCGGAGATTTGCCGAGGATGCTAGATTTTGGGCGACATAGCCGGAGAAGCTTAGCGTGACGCGGATAGCCATGACTACGAATTTGATTAGGTTGATGAAGATGTGGTGCAGTGTGCTCTCGGAGACTGATAAAGTTGATCTAGAGAGCCCTAGCAAACAATGGATGCCATTTCGGTCGTGCAAGACAGTGAAGCGAGGAAGGGAACGGTGAATTGAAAGGCCGGGTTACAGCTGAGGAAAGGAGTTGGAGGTGTTTGGGGATTTGAAAAATTAGGGTTTATGGAAAAGCTCGGAGATGGTGGCCGAGCTTCACCAGAGAGAGAGAGAGAGAGAGTGAAGGGCTCACGACTCACGAGTCAGGAGCAGGTGGATTTGGAGACGCCAGAAAATACCAAGATGGGCGACAAATGGGGAAGAGTATAGGTTTAATAGAACGGCGGCTGAAATTCTATTAAAAAGTGGCCTTCGTTTCTTTCCTTATTTACGATTGTGCCTTTGTCTCCTTAATGAGATGCATTTCTTTCTGTGCAGATTTTTGCCACAAAATACGGATTTTTTTAGTAATCTCTTTTTTTTTTTTTTGAAGATTTGAGTACATCAGTCTTATTATCTCATCACTTTGTGTGACTATCAGATTACTCTTATCCTCTCTTTTTTTTTTTCTTTTTTTTTTTTTTCAGATTTTAAAGTTAATCTTTAAATTCATCAAACATGTGGGAGAATTTTACAAAATATTATAATTTTATTTTGATATTTATACTATAATGGAAACTTTTACATTTTAATAAGAAAATTCCACATAACTCCCGGGGTAATTTGGTCATTCAACCATTATAAGGTAGAGAGGTTCTTCGCGGAAGTTTATGCAAAAGAATGGCTACAGTACGATGTCGTTTTCCATTATTTTGGATGACTTTGACCAACGGAATGGCTTCTAATGTGAATGACATTTGTCTCGCCTTCCTGCAACCTTCCTAAAAATTAAAAATTTCAGATCCCAAAAGACGATAATAGCCCTAGGAATATCCTTTGCACGATGAAACCGTTGATGGATATCATAGGAATATAAACCACATAATTTATTTGTCCTACAACTTTTGTCTGAACACAATTTTCTTTTGAAGAATTCGCCATGATATATCTCATCCGTGCGTAATATTATGAAAAATGAATACAAATTTTTGGCTGTTACTTAGTATCTGCAATAGATATGAAAAAGGATCTAAAAATATAATATTTAATTGGCATACATAGATTACAATGAGTCAGGAAAGGATCGTTCATATTCCAACCAACTCATATCCTAAATTGTTAAATATCAACTTATGTACAAAAAGTAGTCTATTTTTATATATTTAAACTCATTATGAATTTCATTTTTTTACAATCACCAAGCAATACCGCAATACCACGTCATTTAGTAATAA